GGTTGATGGAGCCAGAATGGAGCCCCATGGTGGTTGTCAGCCTCTGTCACCTCTTTACTGAAGATGATGCCTGACCCTGAGCTAAAACTAAGAGGGATATGGAGAATGTGGAGGGGACTCAGGGAACCAGATGCTGGTGATTAGATGATGTGTAGATAAGTCCTATGCCAGAAGCAATAGAAGTTATTAAACTTACAAAGGAAAACGCCGGAGGCCTTACTTCAAAAATACAGATGAGCTATTTTTTTCCTCTCCGAGGACAAACCAAGCAGAAGTGGGACTTAAAGCCCATCGGAATGATTTGGGAGTTGGAAACATCGGGGCAGGTTGCAGGAGAGGCTTGTGTGTGCCCCGTGACTCCTGGGCTGCCATTTCTAAAGACCCATTTGTACCCAAAAATCCCTTATCAGATGTAAATAGAATCAGTCTGCCGCCTGCTGAAATGGTAGACAGGCATCCCTCAAGCGGCTCCATTTCATCAAGAGGCTTGCCTGGCTATCCCAGGCAGGGAAGATCCTTGTTCAAGGGCCTCTGTATGAGACTTGGTCCCCTAGCCATCCCCATAGGGAGGATGGAACCTGCGGTCAGAGTCTATGTGACCTGGGGCCTGACAGCTCAGTTACTCAGCTCCAAGATCCTAACATCATGGCCAGTGGGTTCACCCGTTTCCGTTTCACAGCACCCGATGGGCTTCTCGAACTTGGAATCCGGTTAAGTGGCTGGGAGGAAAGCACCAGCAGGGTGAACTACTATCCAGTTTACTTAACAATTATCTCGGACCTGTATAGAACTAAATATATGATGTGTGACACAGATTGATTTTTTGTTTAACTATGAATCCCTCCTTACTAGGGATTGGAAAAATCTTCTGGCCAGGGGTGGCTAGAGGCAAAGTCTCAATCCTGGTCCTGGTCTTCAACATCCTCTCCTTGGGTTCCACACTGGTCTTCACCTGAACGTCGTTTTCTGCTGGTAGTAATGTCTCTAGCAGTATGCTGGCTGCAGGGCTCCTCAGACCCCCTGCGCTGCCCTGGGCCCACCCTCCGGGCCCTCCGGCCTTGCCCGCTGCTGCT